GAATTAAGTTCACAATGGTTAGATTATGTTGGAAAATGAAGCAGAACTAATGAAAAACTTTATGAACAAAAGAGAGATTATGAAGGAAAGATTGAGGAATTAGAGGCAAAAAAGGAGGAATTGGAAGCAAGAGTAGAAGAGTTAGATGATGAAGTATGAATGGAGCGAGAAGAGGCTGAAAAAGCACTAAATAAAGCCATGGAATGGAGAAAATGACAAATGTTTGAAACTGTGTTGAAGCATGATGCTGCAATGGGCAAACTTCAAGACCAAATAGATTTATTAGAAAATAATTTAGCTGCTAAAAATCAGGAAATAAACTGAAAAGATTATTTGGCAACCAAAGAATTACCATCTTTACCAAAGGAACAAAAAGAAAATAGATTGTACAAACTCAAAAAAATAGTAAATAAAGTAAAAGAAAAAACTAAAGAGAAGTTCCAGACTTTTATTGTTCAAAAGAACAAGCCAATATGAGATTAGAATATAGAATTCTGGAAATAGCCCAGGGAGATGAACAAGAGTGTAACTTCTGCTTTCAAGATTTTGATGACCCAACTTTCCTTAATTTTGATACTGCTCCTGCTACTCATCAAATGATGGCTTGTAATACTCCTGATTGTTATTCTGACATTGTCTTTATCTGTGGTGAATGTAAAAAGGTTATGATAATAATACTCTTCCATGATGTGAGAAATGTCGTAAGTTAAAAAGGAATAGAAATAGATGTTTTTGTAGTCATTTAAAAGCTAAATCAACCAAACCACTTTCTGACAAAGAACTACTTTCACAAGCCTTCAGTTTTCGCCTAGAAATAAAACTAGAGAACTAGAAAGAGAGTTATCAATTACCAAAGAAGAATTAAAAATTGAAAGAGAAGAAATAGCCAAGTTTCAGGAAAAATCTGAAGAGTGAAGTAAAAAACAGAAACAAGAGTTATTGGATAAGATAAAGGGTTTGGAAGAAAAGATTAAGCAACTAGAAGAGGAGAACAGGAAATTAAAAGAGCAACAGAATGGTCAATTAACTGCTCAAATTGAAGTTAAAGAGACTAAAAGATGATCTTGATTGAAAATAAGAAAGTAATTGAAGAAATACTTTCCTC